CTTACAATCAAACAGCAACATGCCCTTTCCTTTGATTCGGACCTTGGACCCATCTCCAAACCGTACTTGTCTCGTTACATTCTCATTGAGTTCTGCAAATAAGGATTTTGAGTCAGTCATGTAATTACTAGCTCCATTGTCTAGATACCACACGTTCTCATCTTCACTTTCTTTTAACTGACTTGGGTACACTTTTTCTTCATTCAGGAGCACCATGCTTGATGTCTCTTCCCCACACACAGTTAGTAGGAGGGAAGGGCCTTACTCATCTGCAGCCAGATTCACCTCCTGGTCCTGCTGCTTCTTTGCCTTGCATTCAGATGCAAAGTGGCCAAGTTCTTTGTACTCAAAGCACCTTATGTTACTCTTGTCACGAGGCTTCTTGTTGGAGTTGTTAGCTTCCTTCCCCACACACAGTTAGTAGGAGGGAAGGGCCTTACTCATCTGCAGCCAGATTCACCTCCTGGTCCTGCTGCTTCTTTGCCTTGCATTCAGATGCAAAGTGGCCAAGTTCTTTGTACTCAAAGCACCTTATGTTACTCTTGTCACGAGGCTTCTTGTTGGAGTTGTTAGCTTCCTGTCGTGAGTCGCCACCCCAACGCCCACCTCTGCCACGAGACGAGCCTCGCCCTCATGAGCTGCCTCTTCCTCCGCGGTGTTATTTCCGCCCCTTCCTCGACCACCTAGTGTGTTTTGCTTGCTTGGACTCCGGTGGGTTGATGAGCCTTCTGCCTTGGCAAGTAGCAGGGCATTATCTGCCTGTGTGCTTGCCTTCCGGAGCCGGAGCCTGTCTTCATAAGCCTTCAAATGCCCAATTGCTTCTTCAAATGGCATTGATTCCATGTCACAGCTTTGCTCAGTTGATGCCACAAGGTTTATAAACCTTTCTGGGACTGTATCAAACAGCTTTCTTACCAATCCTTCATCTTCCAATATTGCCCCTGCACTCCCAAATTTAGAGATCATAGCTGAGATCTTTCCTGCATATTCATCTATGGTTTCTGTTTCCTTCATTTGGAGTGCTTCAAACTCACTTTTCAGTACCCACAATCTTGCCTTTTGGACCCTCTCTGGACCCACATACCGTGACTTTAGAGAGTCCCAAACCTCCTTGGCTGTCTTCTTCTTGGCAGCCTGTGCAAGTATCTACTCTGGTATAGATTGGAAGATGAAAGATCGAGCCTGCTTGCTCTTCTTCTCATCCACAACCACTCCAGTTGGTGGCTCAATGGCATCCCATAACCCATGGGCATCCATGATGGCTTCCATCTTAATTGACCAGGTGTTGAAGTTTAGTGAGGTCAGCATCGGGCATTGGAGAGTAAAGGGATTATCTTTGGGCTGATTGGATGATGATGAGACTGTCATATTGTTGAATCGAGGATACTTGGGCATACAAGTGATTAGGATATGTTTGCTCTGATACCAAATGTTGGCGATCAAGCAATGGAACAGTAAACAACAACAAACTCACAGGGGTAAAACTGGAAATAGGCAGCCGAATGATTCACTTTTATTGAAAGAAGACTAGCAACCTAATGATTGGGTTGCTGTACAATGAAATTTCGACTGATGATTATAACTCCTAAGCTATTCTATTTAAACTACTAGAATTAACACAAAATGAGAAATACTAGGAACAGTTCATTTTCTAACCGTCATGACTGCCCATGTGTTTTATTCTTTCCTAATTACCAGGTCAACCTTTGACCAACAGGTGGTTTTGGATTCTATATTGGTTGTGATTTTTCTAATTACATTTGGGTTTTTTTTTGTTGGTGTCGTTGTTCATGGGGCATCGGGGTAAGTGACGTCTTGCGTCTGTAATTAGGGAATGAAAAGAGTACACGTAACTTCCACCGCCTTTTAATCACCGACACCTTCGACTTCAATCGCCGAATTCTAGGTCTAGGTTCGGTATTCACCCTTTGTTTCTTCCTCCGAGTTTTTTAACAGGTGTGGTTGGGTTGTTTAGATATGCTTACAATATCACTGCCTCCTTGCTTTACTCATTTACCATCGTTTCCACAACTGAAAGTTTGTGGGTTTAATCTTGACCTTCAAAATTATGCATTGTGGGTATGGCAATTATTAGAAACAATTATCATTAATATAGAATAGAGGGTAGTCAATAATGGTCCGATAACATATCTCAGAGCTTTTGCTGGCTGTGATCTATTTACAAAGAAGCATTCTGAGACTGTCCTACATATGAAATGGCTCATTTGGATGATCCAAGTAACGATCTAGAGGCCCCATTAGAATATGAAAACATGGATTTGAAAAACTATGTACTCCAAAACTTTACAGAAGAACATGAATCAAGAAAAAGGGTTCCTTTTCATAATAATTCATCTAAAGAACTCTTTTGTGTTTCTTTTTTTGAAGTTTTAGTTATTGGATTTTCTGAAACTTCCTTTTGTTGTTTTCTATTCTTAACAATTAATAATATTGTTCATGTTGAATTGGTTTTGCTGCATGATTATGCTAGATGCAACCTACATGCCTATCAATTTTTTAATCCATTTTTAATTTATGTAATATTTCAGGGTGATCTTAGGGCATTTTTGAAAAGAAAAGGAGCACTGAAGCCAACTATTGCTTTAAAGTATGCTGTGGACATTCCAAGGTATGTCTCATTTCCATGTTTGCTTAAAATACACACTTATTATTTATTATCTTATGTTGTTACTTTCTCTTTTACATCCAATATTGATTATAAAGAAGCAAATAGCAGAAAATAGCAATGTAATTAGCTCTTTTTACCATTATAGGGTACGTACTTTGTTTTTAATTTTTTTTTTCTTATTATTTATTAGTAGTTTTTACTTTGAAAATTTATTCAAAAATTGATTTGTATTTATATGATATTGCTACAGTAATTAGTTGTTTAGATTTTTCAAAGTAGATTGATGTCTAAGAAGAAATGAAGGTAGGACGCCTTCTTGCATTAGGTTATTCTATGAAGTATACCTAATAGTTTATATCGTTTTGAATTTTTAGTTTTTTTGCATTCTTTTTCGTTTTTGTTTTGCTACCAGGTTATCGTCTGAGATGTTTAATTAACAGGTATGGCTAGGGATGAGCAAAAGGACCGAACCGGCCGGAACCGGACCCGACCCGGGAACCGGCTTTGGCCAAAATCAAGAACCGAATCGGCCCGGCGGTTCTACCGGTTCCCGGTTCCTACCGGTTCTTGTCGTGTCTTCAAATGTTGGAACCGGTCCTCTAAAAATAGCATCATACGGTTCCGGTTTTTGCCAGTTCTACCGGTTTTTGCCGGTTCTACCGATTCCGGTTCCTACCGGTTCCCGGTTCCAAAAATCCACAAAAATAACGTCCCGGTCCCGGCCCGACCCGACCGGTTCCATCGGGTTCCGGTTCCGGTGCCGGTTCCGGTTCCGGTACCGGTTCCCCGGTCCATATGCTCATCCCTAGGTATGGCCATTGTATACATTAATCTTTATATGAAATTTTCATCATATATGGTAACTATTTCAATGAAATGTCGAAACTACCCATTAATTACAATGCACTTTCATTTATGTCTCTATTATAGAGTTGTACTTCATTTTCATTCTAACAATCTACTTCAGTTATTTGTGTTTACAATGTCCCACTTCCACTTCCCTTTCTTTCTCTTAAATCATTCTACTTTCGATTTTTTAAGGCTTTGTACTTGAAAAAATCTAAGCTTCACCCAAATGGGTTCAATTTCATGAAGGGACTTCCTGAGAACATAAAACCAAATGGTTGTGCAAAGAGAGTGTCATCAAAGGGTAAACATTGGTATATTGGTCAACAGTTGGATATTGGTCACAAAAAAGTAGAAGGCTGTGGTAGAACCCACTATTCAACAAAAGGGACAAAAGGGCATAATGGTCATTTTGGTTATCACTGCACTAGCTGCTATTTTTTTTTTCATTTAGAACTGTTTACTGCAATCATTTTTTCGTTAAAATCAGTTGTTTGTTTCTCTTTTGCCATATACCAATGTATGTTTGTATGTATTCAGGATATGGAGGTGCATTACTTTCAAACTTTAAGTGAAATAGATGTATATATTTCAATTTGTAATTTGTTAATGGTTTAAATGTAATCAACACCTGATTGAAATGGGAAAATAGTTTTATTTGGATACTAATGTTTTATCAATAGTAGTTTGGAATGGATGCAACTACACCAAATAAAGAAAAAATTTCTTTGAATTGTACACAACATATACAATACCAAAAAATTAAAAAATAAAATAAAATAAATAAATAAAAGTAAAACCAACCTGGGACGAAACCTGAGACTTTTTTACAAGTTGTTATAAATAGAGTAATAATAAGAATTCAATTAGTATATATAAAAAATAAAAGGAAGGTAAATTTGGATGAGGCTTAATGCATCGTCGAACAGGAAAGTGATCATCTACACAACATTGGTTCGAGTTCGATTTTTGGCTAAGAGATTTTCTTTAAGGCGGTGTTATTTATGTTTTGACGGATTATTGACAGAAAGGAAAGAATAAATAAACATTTAATTTGTATACAATTATGTTGGTATATTACAAAGGAATAACGACATATATTTAAAAAAAAAAAAAAAATCTGTTGTTATTCCATCGGAAATTGCCCAAGGGATAGAATGACAGTTTTTTTTAGTCTGTGTGTGTGTGTGTCAAGTAGTGTATACTAAAAGAAACTAAGTTTTCAACGATTGATTTATTTTTCTTGTCTTTTTTCATTGCACTTTCCTTTTCCATTTCATTTTATGCACAACAATACTAAAAGATCTAAAATTTAATGGAAGAATCTGTGATACGTTTCAAAGCATAAATGTTCCTAAAACAGTATTAATTTATTAGTATTTATAATTTGATGAAATTTTATCGTAATATAAATGTTCCTTAAAACAGTATTTATTAGTATTTTAATTTGATATCTTTTTTCGTTTAACTATTACCGAATTTCCCCCTATATATCTTATGCATACGATCGTGTTACACACTGCAACTTATTCCTTTCGTAGATATTATATTGCGTTAAAACATGGAGCGAACTTCACTAAAGATCGTTTTCTTTGTCGCATTATTTCTTTCCATCTCTTGTACAGTTTTTTCTCCCTCCCTCTCTAATTTATGAAACGTTGCAAATTCAATGCTAACCGGATACACTTTGCAGGTATGCAGATGTCATTCGCTTTCCCTGAGACAGAACATGTAGCCACCCCGCAATCTCTGTCTAAAAGCAATGGTGAAAACATGACTGAACGTGTGGATCCCATTCGTTGTAGTAAGGATAGTGATTGCATTGCTTTTTGTGTAATTGGCTTAGGATTATGTAAGAATGGTGTTTGCACCTGTTACAACTAAGAAATTTAATAATTGTTAATCCCTTGATACATCCATATTACAATGCTGCAGTTGGTAGGTCTTTTCTTCTAAAAAATTGTCTTTTGATGATTTTGACGATTCTTAAATAAGATCCAATATGATATGCAAAATCCAAATCGTAGTTTTCATATATTCTAGTTTCATCACAGTAAACTGACATTGTTGGAGCAGGTCCCTTGATACACGAAGTAAGACCATCCGTTATACCCACCACATACCACATATGTGGTGGGTGCCACATCAGCACCACATTCCACTACCACTAACATGGGATACCTACCACTAACACACCACTCCACATCATTATTTTTATTTTTTTTAATTCAAAAATACAATAAAATTACATTTTTTTTAATTCAAAAATACAATAAAATTACATTTTTTATAATTAAAAAGCATTCATTTTTTTAAACTATTTTTTCATTAATTATAAAAATAAAATAACAACTTCAAACTACATTACTTAGTTAATCTAGAAAAAAAAAACATTACATTAATTAAAAAAACGAACAAACATACATATAAAAATCCTAATCGTCGTTCATGCTACGTTGGTACAAATGTTCCGCGACATCTTCTCGAAGATTGAAACACGTTTCACTGTTATGAATTTCAACAACTCGCTCTAAAAAAACATTCGTTCCGGGTACGAACTCCTCAATTGGAACGACAACGTCGTTCGGATCATACGTGCAAATCGTTCGACCTTCATCTTCAATAATCATATTATGCATTATAATACATGCTAGGACCATTCGTTTAATTCTTTCTTTATCCCAGAGTCGTGTAGCATATTTCACTACATGTCATGTCTGCTTAAGGACTCCAAATGCCCTCTCGATATCCTTTCTCGTCGATTCCTGTTTTTTTGTAAAATTTTTTGCCTTTTCACTTCGAGGAACCGAGTATGCCTTCATCAATGTAGAATAATCCGGGTATATCCCATCACCAAGGTAGTAACCGTATTTGTACGCGTGCCCGTTCACCGTGAACGTCATATCAAGTGCTTTGTCGGTCCAAATATCGTTGAAAAGTGGAGACTGGCCAAGAACATTAAGGTCGTTGTTAGACCCCGCTACTCCAAAAAAGGCATGCCATATCCACAAATCTTGAGATGCAACAACTTCTAGGATGATAGTTGGTTCACCTATATCTCCTCGAGTGAACTGACCACGCCATGCAGTTGGACATTTTTCCCAAGCCACATGCGTACAATCTAGACTGCCAAGCATATCCGGAAATCCATGCCTCTCTTCATGAGCCGAATATAATCTCTCAATATCACGTTGAGTAGGTTTGCGCAAATATTCTTCATGAAAAACCTCATAAACACATGCAGAAAACCAATCTACACATTCAACTGCGGTCCTCTCGGATACTTTCAAGTATTCGTCAGATGCATCAAATGTTATACCGTATCCCAAATACCTAAGAGCAGCCGCACATTTTTGTATACTACTAAAACCCATTCTTCCTCTAGCGTCGGGTTTTTGTTTGAAAAAATCATAACGAGATTCTAAAGTATTACTAATACGTAAAAATATAGCCTTATTCACACGGAAACGACGTTCGAACGAGTCTTCATTATAAAGACAATTATCGGCAAAGTAATCACGTACCAATAAGTCGTGTGCGGCTTGGCGATCACGATTGACGACCGCCCTTGTACGAGCTGCATTCGAACTTTCTTCGTCGTGAATGAGTTGCACAACATTGAAGAATGTCTCGACGAATTCTACGTCGCCATCCGAGTCGAAACTTTTTAAAAATTCCATATGTATTGTGGAATCCATGTGTATGTGTTTTGTGGTTTTAGATAATAGAATGAGGTGTAAGTTTTGGTATAATAGAAGGTTTATTTATATTTAGTGAATTGAGTTTGAAAAAAAAGGAAACGGCCAAAAAACCCAACAACCAATCACATTGTTCGTTTGAATCCATCGTCGGGAACACGAAGAAGCACGACCACGCCTGACCACGGAACGTCGGGGTGGTGTGCACGATCCGTTATCGTGGCCAACTAGACCACGATTCCATTCGTGGTATGTATACCACAAGGCCTAATATAGATACAAAAGTGAAGAGAGTTTTGAGGTAGAGGAATTATCTTCCTGTTTCTTATTCACTGCACACTAATAACGAGTGCAACTACACTATTTAAATAACAAGAAATAACAATTAAGCTAAAAACTGGCTAGACCATGTGCTCCTATCTAAATGGCAACTATAAGCCACGTTATTTCTTCCAAACTTGGTCAACCAATAACCAAGTTTTTCTATTGATCTAAATCTAACCCGTGACATGTGACCCACAACACGTTCACCCGTAAACCCATTAAACAAACCGATTAACCCAACAGACTTTAAGTTCATTTACGAATGGGAAATTAAATATATTCCTACTTTTTGTTCATATCAATCCTCATACACAGCATGTGTAACATTTAATGTTCATTTAATGATATTTTAATATACTAATATGACACATGTTATCATTTAAATGGGTAGAAGGATTGAGAAGAACAAAAAGTAGGAGCATATTTAATTTCTCTTTACCAATTTTTTAAGTTCAAATCTTGAAACTCATTCTGGATTGTAGCTAATATAGAGATCTATATATTACTCACTTTTTCTAAGAGTCCATCTGAGAGTATCCGAAGATGAAATTTTTTTAACCTGCCATAATTAAATGGCAATCTTTCCTCAATTAACTTTTTGATTTTCTTAATAATATTAGGGTGATGGAAGATTTAGTCAACGTGTAGGATGGGTTTGGGTTTATTGTAAGCACTGTTTTAAAACCAGTTTTTAGTTGACCCGGTATGGCGAGTCATGGTTTAACCACTGGGGCGGACAGATTTGAGAAATTCTATGCATTTTATTATACCAACATTTGTATATGTATATAACTTAGAAATTGATGTCTACAAGTAAATATTAAAAAAAAAAAAAAAAAAAAAAAAAAAAAAAAAAAACCATAATCTGTTGTAAATTAGAAAGTCCGAAATCATAAATACTTAATACCCAAATCTCTCTGTTCTAATAAAAGACTTCTTTTTCCGCGTGACAATTCCTCCGTTCATTCTTAATAAAAGGTAAATAACATTTGTATGTACATATCAGTTCGAACTTAAAATCCATAATTCAGCTGCTCAATATAGGTTGATTAGCAAAATTCTAGCAATTTCTGAAGGTAATCATTTACACTATCAAATCCCAATTTATACTATTTGAAATCATCAATAAATCACAACTTGCCTCTCATCTTCTTCCAATTTATACTATTTGAAATCATCAATAAATCACAACTTGCCTCTCATCTTCTTTGCTATGTTTTTAGCAGCATATAGTCACCACATCCACGTAAATTAAGTTGATTAAATCCTGGTAATGTAGGGTTTTGGAAAAAAAAAATTGTTTGTGTTTCGTATTTCATCAGCTGATACGTATATAAACTTTCCAACTAAAAGCGCATAGATGAGCGATCAGGGTGTCAGCTTGATAACGACGATCGTAAATATCAACAACAAACTCTTTTCCAACCCCATCGATTTCAAGACTATTCCATTGCTGATTCATTACTCCTATTTTCGATTAATTTGTCATCAATGTTCATTTGGTTTTTTAACCTAATTTTGTGTGTGTGTGTGTGTGTGCTTATGGGAAGAGTTGATGATAATAAAGAATAATAACGTACCGATACTTGGATTATTTTTGGAGACTTCACTGTAGTATGAAGGGCAGATGAGAGAATTAACTCAAGATTGTGTGCTTCCAGTGCTAAGGGTTTTAATCATTTCATCGTGCTTCCAGTGCTAGGGGTTTTAATCATTTCATCCGGGAGGCAGTGCTAGGGGTTTTAATCATTTCATCTGGGAGAGAGGGCTTCATGACCTTCGTATGGGAGGACACACGTTCACTTATTTTTGTCAAGTTGATCTCAAGTTAAGTAAATTAGACAGCTTTCTAGTGTACTCCAGTTTCATTAATACTTTTCCTTCCGCTTCGGTCACTACACTACCACGAGATTTGTCTGATCACTGTCATGTATTGTTATCTACTACTTAGCTTGATTTTGGGCCTGTATCGTTCTATTTCTTTAATTCTAGGATGTTCAGGGAGGACTTCGAATCGGTGGTAACCATGGCTTGAAAATTTTTAGGGGATATGGTGCAACTGATATTTTTAGGGGATACCAGCGAAATTGAAATTTCTAAAACATGAAATAAATAAATGGAGGCTGACTGATCACCCAAAAGAATTGCCCGACTTGCAAAAACCCAAGTAGAGGGTTGATGAAGTAGATTCTATTGTCGAATATAAGGTCGTGAAGTTGAAGTTGTCGATATGCGTATACAAATGTGGTCTCGAATACAAATATGGATGAGATTAAAAATGAAGCCTTTAATTTTTTTTCAACCTAAATTTCATGATTACTTGCGTTCCCGGACAAAACTATCCAATAATACGTTTCATGTTCTATCCAATGGGGACAGATCATATCTGCAAGCACCAATATCCTAGTCTAAAATCAGGTCTGCTGTGTGGGTGTGTGGGAATGAGAAAGCTCCTAGACCGGACAAATTCTCTTTTAAGTTCTTACAAAACTATTGGGACTTGGTGAAAGAGGACGTTTACTCATTTGTGAAATACTTTGAAAGATATGTGTGTCTTGCTCGGGGTTGTAATTCTTCCTTTATAAATCTTGTTCCCAAGATTAGTAATCTTCTCGTGTTGAGTGACTTTCGAACCATTATTTTAATTAGATGTATGTATAAAATCATTGCAAAAATACTAGCCTTTAGACTCAAAGTGGTGATTAGTGCTACCATTGACGACGTGCAAACAACCTTTGTGGAGGGGAGTTGTAACGACCCAAAAATCAAGGGTAAAAATTTCATTTTTAATATAGTCAAAACATAGATATCAGTTATTCCAAACATCCAAAACATCGTTAATTAAAAGATTTATCAGAGTTCATCCCAAAATCATTCAATGCGGAAAACATGGGTGTGTGCACTGCGATCAATCCGAGCCCT